CTGGGAGGTGACGCTGAGGATTAGAGACGCTTACCTCATGAAAAGGTATAACGATGATTGAGTTACAGCTAAAATGTGTGGAGTGCCAGCTGTGTGCCAGGCATCACGTGAATTTTTTATTCATGGTCTCACTTAATTTGGTCCTTGCAACAACCTTGTGAACTAGATACAACTATTACCAGAAAACAGAGGCTTGGACAGACAAAAGAACTCATACAAGCTCTCAGGGCTAGTGGAACTCCTGAACCCATGGTCTTACCCACTTTGCTATTCCACAGAAGGTACGAATTGGAAGTCCACACACTGGATCTAGGCTGCAATGCTTTTTGCTGTTGTTGTTCATAGTATTTAAAAACAACTTTAACTCATTTTCAATATTTTAAAATGGGGAAATTTCATGCATCTTTTGCCAGAACATCTGGGACAGCGTGGCACTGATTGGTTGGAGTATTCTCTGGTTTGCCACAGTCCCCACCTTTCCTTTTCATCTTCTGTTTTATGCCTTCCTTATTTGTGTCACTAGCCTAGCCTGTGTAGGTGTTTGAATTTGTGATTCCTGCTCTCTATTTCACAGTAGACTGGTTAAGAGCATGGACTCCAAAAAGAGAGCTTGTTTGCATCCTGGCTTGATGCATAACGTTGGCGATAGACTGCATCTCTGTGTCCCAGTTTATTGGTAGCATAGAGATAGTAACAGTACCTACCTCATAGGGGTGGTGTGAGGCTTAAATTCATCAATGCATATAAAGCATTTAAAACCATCCTGGAGACATGGTAAGTGCTATGTAAGTGTTAGTTGTTATTGTTATTACTATTTGCTCCTTTACAAAATAATATCCTTTGGGATTAGTTCTGGTAGACTCTTTATTTAAAATATCTGCCAATTTATCTGTATTACAATTTAGAGAGGCATTGTAATATGGTAAGAAAGGCTTCAGCTTCTTCCTATTTAAAAAGAAGATAATAGCATGCACCTCCTGGGTTTTACTAAGCTCACATGGTTAATTCCCTCTCCTATCCCAGCCTAAGTCAGGATTTCTCAACCTCAGCACTATTGACATTTTGGATCTGATAATTCTTTGTTGTGAAGGGCTAGCCTGTGCATTACAGGATATTTAGTAACATCCCTGGCTTCTACTCACAGCAGCACCTGGTCCCTCAGATGTGACAACTAAAAATGTCTCCAGACATAGCCATATGTCCCCTGGGGGAGAAATTCGTCCCTAGCTGAGAACCAATGTGTTAGGTAGGTTCTGTTGTAGGGTCAACAGCACTTGGTGTGGCCGCTGTGTCTAACCCACAGGAGAGTAGAGAGCACATGGCACATGCACTTTAGAGTACTTACTATGTGTTGGCCTTGGTGCCAGGCAGTGGGTTCAAGGTGGGCTCGTTAGTAAGCCTTCTGTAGCAGTAGCCCTTCAGGAGGGTTGTTATTCTCTGATTAAATTCATTTCTGCAAGTCATTTATTTTCTGTAGCGTCATAAGAGTCTGGATTTGAATCCTGATTCTCTTCCTCATTAGCTATGTGGCTTCAGTAGAGTTGCTTAAACTCTTTAGCCTGCTTCCTTATTTTAAAAATGGAGGTAACAGCACCTCCTGCATAGGCTGCTCTGAGGATTAAATGAGGTAATACATGTATGGAGGGTTCTCCATGAATGCAAGCCTTTGCTATCAGTCGAAGGCACTGCTGAAGGTACGGGGACTCCGTGATGAATAAAACATGATTCTGTGGTTCTTCTCTAGCTGGCTTTGCTTGGTTAATACTTTCCCAAAGTTACTCTCCAATATTTGGCAAATATTTTTGGTTTTTGTTTTTAAACTGCTAGAGAGAGGCATGTGTGTATTTTCTGCACATATTTCACTGTGTTTCTATTCTGTCCTCTCTTAAACAGATTCCTGTGTTATCAGTGACCATCCCAAAATACAGATCAAGAACTCGACTTTCTGTATGGCTGCCTATCCCAACTTGACAATGGTTAACTTCACCAGCCAGGCCAATAAGACGTTTGTCAGTGGGAGTGAAGAATATTTCAAGTAAGACAGCTTAAAAAAAAGTGCTTTTTAAGAGAAACCCAGTGAATTAATAAACACGTAACTTGTAGACCAGAGGTGTAGTGGCCTGAGGTGTGGTGGCCCTCTGCAACCTCTCTATCTACTGGAGTGATCGGGGAAGAAGATTTTTTTTTTTTTTTTGGTTTGGCTTCTAAGAGCAGATTGTTGTGCCTTGTGGGCCTGTAAAGGAGAGTTGACTGAATGCTGGCTGGTGGGAACAGAATCAGTGCTGCTGTAATTCACAATGTTGATGAAAAAACATTTTAAAACCTTAAGCCAAGGGAATCTAAGCAGACCTTCAGGTTACCAGACTATTTTTTTCTTTTTTCATCTGCCTTTGACTTTTAGGGAAAAGAGGTAAAAAGTAAGAAAACAGGTCATGGTCCAAGTTTCAGTTTAAACAAGAACTAATTTCGTTTTTTTTAAAAAACAACTTTACCTTAGTTTTGTGCTTTCTACATCTGTATTGCTCAGCACTGAAGACAGAGGTTCAGGGAAACTAGGAAATCCTCAACCACCACAGGAGGTGTGTCAGTCCATTTCCATTGCTTATAACAAAATACTTGGAACTGGGT